TGATATATATATAAATACATTCCTGTATCTAGATAGACTAATTGAACCTGATGATGACCAAACCTTGTCGAAACAGGGTTTCGTAATCATTCTGTACTCACTGTAACATTGCTAAGCTATATACACATTTATCATAAGTATTATTTTCTTAAAATATACATAGTCAAACATTCATAAACTGACTTCAAAATAGATATAATGAACTAACCATTTTTTGAGACTACATTTTGTTACTAATTTGAATCAACAAGAACTGCATAAACTGCTATTTGAAAAACGTTGTTTAAGGCCAAGATCCACAAAATGACTACCTGTGCATTGCCCACCATTGGGATACAACACAGCCTTTTAATGTTATAAGACCTCGAGCTAAGCCACTGGGACATGGGAGCTGAGAATGTGAATGACTGTCATATATATATATATATATATGTGTGTGTGTGTATGTTTGTATTTTTAATGCCTAATTACTAGTTAGTATCGCTCAATAACTGGATAATTTCGACATTTTATGATTTAATAATCAGTTGGTTTTGTTAAACCATTGGATAACTTTAACCCATGGGTAATTTAGTAATGTCTTTGTACTAATGAGTAACTTGGACGTTTTTATTTGGCTTAGTAATCACTTGTTTTTGCAGAAATACTGCATAATTTGAAGATATCGTGTAGTTTAGTATTACTCGACGTTTCTGTGTAATTCGAACGTTTTCAATGTTTTAGTAAGCAGTCGACGTTGATGAACTACTGAATAGCTTGAACTTTTTTGTAATAATGTAGTTAGTTGTTATCATTGAACTACTGGATAATTTGTACGTTTTATGGTTTAGTAATCAATTGGTATCACTGTACTACCGGATATCTTAAACATTTTCGCATTATTAAGTAAGTTCTTATCCCTGTTAAAAATGTGGATAAATTGAGAGTTAGTATTTACTTGATGCTTCTAAAACATTGGCTTAATCACACTACTTTTAAGGTTTAGCCTTCAGTTGTTGTTGCTGCATTTCTTGATAACTTGAACACTTAATGAATTATAGCCAGTTGGGGTTCCTAAACTACTGGTTAAAATGAACTTTTTATAGTTTAATAATTAGTCGGTATCGCTCAACTGATGCTTGCCTTCAATGTTGTTAATGGTTTGGTGAATGTTTGTAATCGGCGCTGTTGAATTGCTGGATATCTTGAACGCTTTATGGTTTATAATCCATAAGTATTACAAAACTACTGGATAACTCGAACGTTTTTTCTGGTGTACTAACCAGTTAACTTTGCTGTACTAATGGATAACTTGAAAATGTTGTTATAGTTTGATATTCAGTTATTGTTGTTACTCTACTGGATACCTCAAACGTTTTATGGAATAGTAGTTATTTGGTACCGCTGAACTACTGGATAACTTGGAAGTTTTTATTGTCTACTGACAGTTAGTTCGGGTTGTTCAGACACGGGCAGTTTGTTCGTGTTGCATACACGACATCAGTTGTATATTAGTCGGCTCTTGATGTTTAGTTCGTTTGCTGAAATACTGACAGTTAATTTGTGTTGTATAGCTAGTAGCTATTTTGTATTGTTCAATTTTTGATAGTTAGATCGTGTTGCTGAGATATTGGCAGATAGTTATTGTGTTTCACATTTCGATAGTTCGTGTTGCTCAGCTACTGATAGTTTGTGGTGCTCAGATATTGACAGATAGTGTTGCATAGTTAGTAGCAGTTTTGTATTGCAAAATTCTTGACAGTTCGTGCTACTGAGATAATGACTGCTACTTTGTGTTCCCAAATTCTGATAATGTTGCTCATCGACAAAATATCTTGCCCCCCAGTGGCACAGCGGTGTGTCTGCGGACTTATACTGCTAGAAACCGGGTGGGTAGAGCACAGATAGTCCTTTGTGTATCATTGTGCTTAATAACAAACAACAACGTGAACAGAATATCTTATTTCTTTCTTTTAAGTTTCATGCTCCAGGCCCCCTAGTGGCACAGCTGTATGTCTGCGGACTTACAACGCTAGAATCCTGGTTTCAATACCCGTGGGGGCAGAGCACAGATTGCCCATTGTGTAGCTTTGTGCTTAGTTCCAAACAAACAAACAAACAATTATATTCCAGTTCTTGTATATCCTAGATCTGTTGGGTAAATTATACCTTTTTTTTAACTTGTTATTAGCTCGTTTCGCTGACTGACTGTATCTCGTTTTGGACATCATTTATTACACGTTGTTAAGCTACTGGGTATTGATTAGGCTCTTATATGGTATGTACATGTCGTTGAGATACCGAGTATTGATTAGATTATCTTATAGTCAGTTCATGCTATTCAGTAAATGAGTAATCTATGAAATTCTTATATAGTTTCGTCATGCTGTTGAGCTATTGGGTAATGTATAAGGTTCTTGTAGGTTGTATGGATTAGCCATTCCGTTGAACTACTGGATAATGTAAAAGGTGTTTGAATGGTCTAGTTATGCCGTTCAGTAAATGGGCAATGTTTAAGGTTCTCGTATAGTCTAGTTATGTTGTTAAGTAAATGTGTAAGATGTAAGGTTTATGTATGATGTAGTTACGTTGTTGAGTATATGGGTCATGTGTAAGGTTTCTGTATGGTCCAGTCATGCTATTTGAGTAAAGGATAATGTATGAGGTTCTCTTATAGTCTAGTCATACTGTTGAGTAACAAGGTAACTGAGTTTAGTAATTTGTTGTTATTTCCTTGAGGAAAATTAAGTCACATTCAATAATAATAACAGTGCTAAATTTGCATCATTATAATGCGATACAAGAATTGTAGGTTAAGACATTTTCCTCGTAACATTTCGTGAAGTGTCGGTCATTATTACAGCTGAGGAGGTGCAGCAATTTATTAGATAGTATTTGTCACAAAAATATTTTGTTATATAAGTACATGTGGGTGTAGGAAGGAACAAGAAGTTATACTTTTCAACTTGAGAGCTTATGTTTAGGAAATATCATTGCGAAAACTTAATACAAAATTTGAAGTGTTTGCATTTGTGATCAGTTACTAAATACTTTCCCATTACAACTCGGCTTGCTGGATCGTATCCAACACGAGCTAGTCAGCATATGTTGACAGCACGAGGTTTGAAACAGAATACTAGACCGAAAACATCTTAATAAAGGAACTCTTTAGCCTGATTAAAAATGAAAACAAAACATTCTGTTGGTGTAGAAACTGAGTAAAGTGCTAAGATAACGACTAAGTTCTTCTGGATTTTTAAGCGAATGTTTTTTAGTTTATTCTAAGTCTGAAAACAAAAATAGAATGAAACCATCTGAAACTCTGTCCCATTATGCCACTCCACTTGTCTGTAAGAAGTAGCAAGAAACGATACTCAGCGATCAGACCTTTAGACTCAGACTCCATGGTTCCTGTATTCTTGATAGTGCAGGTATAGTTTGCCATGTCTTGTAATCACAAAAAAAGCAAAGTTTAGTCTATCACCGGAATGTTTGTTTTTAATATAAATTTAAACACCAAAATAAATGACTATTTTTAAAAATGGTTAATTTACACTTTGAAATTATACGTTTATTGACAGTTACAAACTTTACATTCTCATTTTCAGAAACTTGGACAGTACAGCATTATTTAACCTAACTGAAGGGATCTTTTCTCGTGTGAAGGTTTATTACCTATAGCAATACTTTAAAATTAAATGAACGTAATGTTTTATATTTAGGTGGACAAAATCCCTTTTTATATATATTTAATTGTATTCTATTCTAAAATCTTTTTATTTTTCTGTGATGTAGATAAGTAAAAGGAAGATGGCAATTATTGGTACAATGAAACAAATATTTGGTATCACAGTTACCATCATCAGGTCTTGGAGTATAATGTTTATATAGTCTGTGTTTAGATGTTCTTGTTAAAAAATAAAATACTAATTTAAATTTCAGTATATTTTGGAAACTATTTACTGTAAGCATGCTATCACACCATGACTTCAACCATCTTTTAAGCTGGAAACTGTGTTTTATACGTATGCTTGACGTGCTATTAATATATATATATATACATACATATATATGAATATGTATACACACAAAGATAAAAGCGTTTAAAAGCAGTAGTGATGAATAGAGGTTATGCTCCTATAGTTGTTTATACAGTTTTCTTGAAAATGAACGAAAAACATTTAGAAATGAAATATTCCGATTCAATCTCATTAAAATCATATAAAAATAACTTTATTACCGTATCATTTTTCCAATCATTTCTCAGAAATTTGCACATTTCAATGAATACGCTATAAAATAGTTTTCATTCTTCAAACAGAATCCTCAATGATTTGCAACCATATAAATTTAAGAGCCCTAAAATAACGAAGAGAAAGATGAAATTTATACAGTCAGTTGTAGTTTGGTAAAACCTAAGTTGGACAAACAGGAAGGAAATTAATAATAAGATAAAAGGAATATAAAAATGGTGTAAAATACGGTAATACTTTATCCTCAGCTACAGTTGAATCTTTTCTGGAATTGTAAGAGTAAATATGATTGGAAAAAATGTGGAAATAGTAAGATGCACACAAACAAACATGGAAATGTAAGAGAAATAACTTCATATTTCACAACAGATCTGCGTCTACAAGCTGAGATAGTGAACCAATTAATGTTTCGTCCTGGAGAAACTGTTTATCTTGAGAAATGTGTCAGAATATTTTCAGTTCCACTTCCTACCCCACTTGTCAGTTCAATTAAACTTGTCCATGTAACAATTGAAGTTGAAATATACACTACGTAAACAATATAACCACAGCCACGATTATGGTTACAGTTTTACCAAAACTGATCGGCTTTACATAATGCTTTATAATTCATTCATCGACCTTTTTATTTTCTATTTATTTATGTATTGTATATTGTATTTATGGCAAAGCTACTAAGACTAGCTGCCACCGTCCTTAATTTTAAACTACTGACCAGAAGGAAGGCAGCCAGTAAGCAGCGTTCTACCCAAAGTCCCAAACTCCTAATTTTAGGGTACTGGCTGTTATCCTTATAATGCACCCATAGCTTAATGTGCAGAGAATATTTTTCATGCTATCGCATGGATTGGAATCTGGCTCGATATCTTAGAAATCCAGAGCTTTGCAACAGGACCAGCCCGCGACTTAATATTGGTTGAAAATGTTAATTTCTTTTTTCATTTTCTACATGTTTTGACAAAGAACTTGCGTCATGATGTTCCAAAGGCTTATATCAATTTCACTGAATAAAGTATGTGATATTTGATAATGTATTGTGGTTTCTATTTCTTTGTGGTACCTCTTACTTTGCACATATAAACATGATCACTCCTAGATTTTGACAAAAGTCGGACTTTTATTGAATATTACAAAGAAAGAAAAAAAAACGATTTCGTAACTAATACCTTTTTAATCCTCTTTTAAGAAGAAAATACGTGGTATCATTTTAAAGAAAATTCCATTAAAGGACATAATGTGAAATAAACATTACATTATACAATGTAATATATGGAAATAATAAACAATTCTCTCCAAAAATACATCAAAATTACAAGAGCAAGAGAAACAACGACAGCCTTTCAATATAAAATGAAACATTGTTTATTTAAATCATACCCCTAATATTTCTGTCCACCTCTTTTATTTCTGATTGATTTAATGATTCGCTAAACTTCTATTCTGAATCTCAAAATATTATACATGAAATGTGGGTGAGTTATGCGAACAGCACATCTAAACAACATTAAGGAAATAGAAGTTTTCTTTTTTAACTGTGTTTAGAGTATGTTTCGTTTTTAACGTGAAAATTTAAAGCGATTAATTATTTGTCATCGTGATATAACTGAAATACAAATTATCAGTCTTATGTAACCATAACCATCTTTAAAGGTGAATTAAAACAAAGGGCACAAAAGTGAACACGACTGACGATGAACAGCAATACTAAGTTTTAAGTGTGTATACCTTTAAGGTATGAATGGGATCATGGTATTACTCAGTATTTGAGACCATTAAATAGGCCATTTTGGTTTACATTGATTTGATGCAAATATGTAGAATTAAGTTCAAAAGTCTTTCATTGAATCGTTCTTCAAGGCACAGAACAAACAAACGGAGAATAGTAAACAGGCGATCTGAAAAAGAAAATTTGAATAGTGCATTAACCTTTTAAACCTATGATCATAAACAGAAAACTATACATTTAGGGAATTTAACTCCAGCAATAAATATAGATATAGGAATAACTGAAATATGAAAGGTAAAATCGGGTTAATTGGGACGTATTTACGACTTTATGAATAAAAAGGTAATAGATCCAATTAAACTTAAACACTATATATACATGGAGGAGAAAATATAATTTTACTAGGAATTGACAATTAGTTCAACTAGCTAAAGTGCTACAGAGTGCCATAATATACCGTTGATTTTGAATTAATTATAAATATCCAGTATGCACTGTTTTTCAAGTATGCTCCGGTATGGACTGTAATTCATTTCTTTCCGGTATGGAATGTAAGTTAAGTTTGGTCCAGTATGAACTGTAATTCAACTCTTCACTGGTAAGAACTATAACTCATCTTTGCTTCGGAATGATCTATAATTGAACTATGAAATATAATTCAAAACTTCTCCAGCGTGAACTATGTTCAGTATGAAATACTGTTTATAAAACAAATTTGACAAGATTTTTTGCTTTGTTTCGGGTATCTGATTTCATATATGATTTATTTGCTTGTGATGATGTTACACTTTATTGCTATATAGGCGAAAACGATCATTATTGACCAGGACAAAATTACAAATATTTATGCATTGATAAAAGGTTACAGATCTTTATATTTTGTTTGTTTGTTGAATTCTGCACAAATTCTGCGCTAACTATCCCTAATATAGAAATAATAGACTAGAGGGTAGGCAATCAACCACTGTCAACTCTTGTGCTACTCTTTACCAACCAAAAGGTAGAATTGGCTGTCCCATTATAATTTTCCTATGGCTGAAAGGGCGAACATGTTCGATGATGGAATTCTAGCCTAAGACCCACGGACTGCGAATCTAGTACTTCTAAACATCAAGACAAGTCTTTTTTATTTTGTTTGAATAATCATACTTTTGAATGAAAAAATATATACATTAATATATATACATAATTATAAATTCTTACTCTTCAGTAAATAAATAAATAATAATAATACTATCCTCTCACATAAATATTCGAAGTCATGAATGAAGAAAGAGCTTGAATTGACAGAGACTGATAATTCATAGAAACAGAGATCATCTTGAAAAATACACCCGAATATTGATGGAAAATTCTGAGAAGCAAATGACAGAATTTTAGAAAGCATGACCAAATGAAATGATAAAGGCATTAATATTAAGTTTATGCCGATGGATATATCTTGAGTTTATTTTTGCTTTCTTGTGAATGCAATTCAAACATTTAAATCTTCACGGTTTAACGTACCTGGATAAGCGTTAGGCCTACTGCCAGACCTCCTATAATTCCTCCCTTAGAGGCGAGATACCGACGAAGGTTTTCACCACAACCCTGTCGAAAGTGGAACGAACATGAATTAAGAAAACGTTGCCACCTTATCTAACGTAACATGAAGAAGCTTTATTAAAAAAAAAACACTGAAAATGTCTAAAAATGTTTTCATTTAAATTCCAAGTGAAAAGCCAAATAATAAACGATAACTACAAGCTAATGGTTAAATATTTTCGAAAACGAGAAAAAGTTTGGTTGTTTTAGATCAAAGCTACACTGGGCTATCTGCTGTGTATACCACGGATATTAGTAAAGTAAGTCTGTAAACTTACTGCTGTCCCACCGGAAGGCACGAGAAAAATAAAAGTAACATCTTTGTAAGGAGATACTTGTAAAGCGATGTACACTTACTTATAAAAATTCCATTAAACCTGACATAACTACTAAAAACATATATTATTTTTACTCCCCAGACAAATCACATACACGTGTATATATTCTGTTTCCAGTTGATTCCTTTCTGACTTTGTGGTCAGGAAATTTTACTTTTTCGTTTTCATGAGAACTGAATACGTAATCTTTTTTATTATTATTTTGCAAAATATGTTGCATTTACACTTCGTTATATTTGGTTTGAAAGTTCGAGGAAATTATTAGGAGAAAAAAAGACTTTGAATCATATAGATGTAAATATTATAAGAATGTCTGTTTATAATCAAAGTATTCAAATGAATCATAGGATTTTCTGTTTCTAATCTATTGTGTTCATGTGAATATTCAATTGCATACTCTGAACATCAAGGAGTACATTCTGTTTAAGATCCATTGTATCATAGAGTGGGTAGACTCTATATGTAGGGATGGCCAAGGTACTCAATAAGCACAATATCAATATGCACGCTAAAAAATGAACAAAGACAGAGAGTTTTACTTTAAAAGATGATTCTCACTTACTTTCATTTGTTTCTCTGCTCAACAATCAAAAAACAAGGCAAGAAACCATCGCTTAGATACCAAACCGGAAAGTGACCATCCCTCTAAATTGTTAATCTTTCTTCTTCTTGTTTCAGTCGAGATAACTCTACAACTACTTTATCATTAACGTCAGTTTAAACCTAAATCCACTCAATGTGTTCCTGGGCATGCACGATGTTATCGCTTAGTTGTAATGACTAGTAGTAATTAAAAAAAAGTCTAGTGTAAATGATGTTATCATCATCCCTTGAAGTTGGCTTTTTTACAGAAATGTGGTGTTCCTTTAAAAAGCTTAAGTACAGGGTGAAATACGAATTACCAGCCAATAATAGATGAACATTAGATGACTCTAACGTTGTGAATACTCAAAGCTTTGTACACTATACGATTGATGTCTTTAGGAAGCGAAAACCTATATTATTTATGAAGTGGAGGAGTAAAAAAATTATATACACAGTATATTTCACCAAACAAGTAATAAAAACATTTTGTTAAATGTAAATTGATGTAAGGATGGCAGTGCGAAAAAGAATTCAAACAACAAAATAGGGATGATACAGCTATACATATATCATCCTTACATGACCTTCAATATTAATTTAATGTTACACTGTAAAATATATACTTGAATTCAATATTACTGCAGTTGGAAGTTATAGATTCTTGACTGTTGGTATGCAGTTTGTTTATCATGATATCATGGTCATGTCAAGGTAGGACTCAAAGTAATGTAACTAAGAGCCTAGGAATTACGTACAAGGAAAACCAAGTTGAGTCAAAACATGTCTTGATTATTACAAACTATTAAAGACTCTCGCTACGAGATCGAATTGACAGACTTCGTAACTGTTTTGTACTCATGCATTTTACAGTGTAACGTAAAATTTTGATATTAAAAGTCATGTAGGGATGATCTATCTATCCGTGTATTCTTGTTTGCATTCCCTTGGAATTATCATCCCTAAATCATTTTACATTTACAACATGTTTTTCATCATGTGAAATTTTAGCTGTGTAATCCCTGAGCTAGATTATGTTAATAGTTTTTTATGTTTATGTGAACCTTCAGCTGTGTAGTCCCGAAGCTAAAGTTATAGATTCTGTTTATTAACCATAAATCGTAAGGTGTGTTTGTACCAGAGCTAAAAGAGTAGATTCTGTTTATTATCCATGAACTTTCGGATGTATAACCAAGAAACTGAACGAGTATATTCTATATTGGGTTTACGCAAATCTTCAGGTGTGTAACACCGGAGCTGAAAGAGTAAATTATGTCTATAATCCATTGTGTTCACATGAATTTTCAGATGTGTAACACTTGAGAAAAAAGTAGGTTTACGTGATTTTTCGGATGTTTAACCCTGGAGCTCAAGGAGAATATTATGTTTATAACTCATTATGTTCACGTGAATCCTCAGATGTTTAACCCCCAGCATCTTGGTTAATACACTTTTCAGTGTACATACTTATAATAATGAAGTATTTAACTTCTTACCCTGATGAAGACGTTGTTCGAGCGTTCGTCACTGCATGATTGAGGAATGGTCCAACCCTTGTCTCTGTAATCCAACATGGAAGTAGCCCCGCAACATTCAAGCTAAAGAACGAAATATAGTAACATCCCTTTTAAATATGCACATATAGAGCGCTTGAAGATGTAATATTCTAACCAGAAAACGTATAAACAAAGCATTTGATTCACATCCAAAATCTGATCGATAGTTCTATTACTAGATTGTAAAGTTGTTTATTGCATCAGGCTTAGCTGTTGACTACTGAATTTAAGTCTGGTAAAATTGTTTTATGAATTCGATTGCAATTTGAAGTACAACAAAATTATGGACAAATACTAATGATAATTTATAATATAATAATAATTTCTCATTTACATGTAGAAGACATATATTTGAAAAATATGAATGAAATAATATTAAATTAAAAATCAGAAGAAAATTAACAGTTGAAATTTAGTAACTATTATCAAGTAAACAAAAACCATTGTTTTTTAAATATATAAATTTTTAAAGAATTATGTACACTGAAACAGTATGCAACTTACATGTTGTTTCAGGCCAAGGCTACACAGTGAGCTATCTGCGCTCTGCTCTCTCCATCGCGGGGAAACCCCGAATTTTAGTACTGTAAATCCGTAAACCTACCGTTGACCCATTGGAGCAGGGTTGAGGGGGCAGTAATTTATTTACTGCTGTTACACTCATAAACAGGATAACTAGATTTCTTTTAAAATAAGTTCACAGAAAGAAGTTAAATGTAAAAATTTTATTGCAAAATATCTAGTTTTTTACCATTTAGAGCAGGACATGGTCTAATGTTTAACGTACCGGAGGGTTCATAGTTTATGTGCCATTGCCACAAAAAGAGAAAATAAAAAAATGCCCTTCGCACTTTGCGGCCATGGATGAGTTATAAAAGAGACTCAGATCCCGTTATTCGATTAGAGTAGCTTGATAGTTGGCGTTGAGTGCTGTTGATCAGTTGCACTCTCTTTAATCTATATGTTGAAAATTAGAAACGGTTAGCGCAGATAAAATTTGTTCAGCTTTGCCCAAATTTCCTGAACACTCAACCAGCCAGTCATTTTATTTTTTGTTTGTTTGAATTTATGCACAAAGCTACACAATGGGATATCTGTCCTCTGCCCACCACGAGTATCGAAACCTAGTTTCTAGCGTTGTAAGTCCGCAGACATAATGCTGTGCCAGTGAGGAGCACCAACCATTTTAACTACGTAACAAGTGAGATATTGTTTTTCACAGCAATAATGTCCTTTTGTTTAAAAAAAATATTGTTGACAAGATTTTAAGAGTGAAAATGTTATATTGTTCAGGAATATATTCAATTCCTTTAGAAGAGTTTAAGAGAAAAAAATTCTACATTATTCAGGAATATATTTAATTATTTTACAATATTTTAAACAACATTGCTATATTGTTGAAAAACGTATTTAATTTCTTTTCAATATTTTTAGAACAACACTGTATGGAATATTTCCCAAGAACATGCCTAATTCCTTTATAAGATTTTAAGAGCAACACTGTAATATCATTAATTCTTTTTTTACAAAAATATTTTATCTGGGTGAACACTTAGTGATTTTGTGAAACTATATAAAGAAACAGTGCTAATTTATCCCAGCAAAAAATATAATTCCTTTATCAGCTTTTTGAAAGCAAAAAAACGCTAAATCGTTCATGCAAAAGTATATTTTCCTAATAAGAATTTTAATACAACAATTCCAGTTTACCTAGGTAGGAGTTTAATTCCCTTAGAGAGTTTACTTAATTACAAATACTTTATTTAAAATATATTTTGAAAAAAACATATTATTTTATCACTATAATTTTAAACTTACTTAAAAGGACGTTAAAGAACTGTTGTTGTTTTTTTTTCAGAGCAAAAGCTATACAATGGGTTATTTGCTTTAGGTCCACAGCGGGCAATCGAACCCCAGATTTAAGTTGTAAGTTCTTAAAGTTATCGTTGATCCTCGAGGAATAATTTTAAAGGAACACCAACAAAGATTAACATCCGTTTCTTCTTAAGAACTTGTAGATCAGTAGTTCTACATTTTATAGAGGTGAAAGTGTAATTCCTTTAGAATGTTATTACAGAAAGAGTGATATTTTGTTAAATTTGCAAATTTTCACCATATTTACTACATTTTATAAACAGCGATTGAATTCTAGCAAAATCTTAATTGCTTTACCTGGTATATTTCAGCAGCAAATATATTTTATCAAGGTAAAAGCTTAGTTTCCTCAGAAGAGTTTTTAAGCAGCATTACTGTTTCATCAAGATTATTGTTTAGCACTTTCACAAGGTTTTTAAAGCAACAATATTATTCCATTCTGATGAACTCTTGTTTTTTCTGGAGGATTCTTAGAATAATAATGTTGTTTTATTAAGATTAACATTAGTTTATTCACATAATGCTGTTTTATCGAGGTAAAAGCTTATTTCATTGATCAAGAGGCTGAGCATGGCCTAGTGATTCTCGTTCTGGATTGCGTATCCAAAGGTCCAAGGTTCGAACTACGATATGCCGCTGACACAGTCAACACTCTTAGTTGCGGGTCGTTATAACAGTGACAGCTAATCTTGCTATTCCTCTAAGAATAGCCTGCACTGGAAGTGTTTGCTGCTGACTGGTTGTTATACGAGGGATGTCCGTAAAGTTCGTAGGCTGACCTATAAAGAAAACACACACTGGTTCAACTATGATTTATTTTTCAACATAATCTTCTCCTAATGATCTTCTTGATCCTCAATCAATGACTGGACTGTATGTACGAGGTCATCATCACTGAAATATTCGACCTATTATAAAGATTTTAAGGTTAAGGAAGAGAAATGGTCACTTGGGTGTTTCCGTTGCAAATTTTGCAATTTTATCTTTCTGGGTGGAAGTGGTGAATCCACGTTTCATCCATAGCTACGAACCTATTAAAACCTTTGAAGTAGGCGTTGGATTTCCGTTTCTGCTCAGGTGACAACGTTTTTGGCACTAATCTTACTCATGCCGAAACTATCATTCTGAATGCATGCTACAGTACTTGTACTGATTCCCACTTCCCCTGCTAAATTTCTAATGGTAATTCTTCTATCATATATAACTAAATCATAAACTTTATCTACAATTTCTCGGATCATCTTCACATGATAGTCTAACAAGCTTAAACTCAACACACAACTTTCTCACTGTTAACTATGCCGGAGCACCCTCTACTAATGTTGCTTCCATGTCCTGATGGATTTCTTGCGGTATTTTGTTTTTCTTTTTAACAGAGTATTTGATCACGACACGAAATTCGTTCTTAACCATGCCGCTTAACACTGCTCACATCTTTCCTTTAAAAGTCCACAACGCACAAAATAAACTCGTTAAGTTATGTGTTACGTGTTATTTACTCATAAAAAAAAGTTCAAACTTAATATTTATCAGAAAAAATCACACATTCCTGTTTTATTTAGGTCGAGCCACGAACTTGTCGGACAACCCTCGTACTAGTGATCACAAGTTCTAAATTATGAATGGTTGAACCTAAACCTTAGGTCTCTGACATACTATTTAGCTGGCGTGTCGTAAAAGGCGCTGTTCAGGCTGAAAATATCACACATTTTACAAGGTTTTGTGGTTTTTTATCAAGGTTAAATTTATTTCTTAGAAAACACAATATTACTCTATTTTATCTAAATGCTTGATTCTTTCCCAACCCTTCTCCAGTGGGTCAGCGGTAAGATAACAGACTTACAATGCTAAAATCCGGGATTTAATTCATCGTGATTATCAGAGCGCAGACAGCCCATTGTACAGCTTTGCGCTTAAATGACAACGATAATCTTCACAACATTTTTAAAAGTAACAATGACATTTTTATTCAGTAAGAGCTTAATTTCTTCGAGATTTGCTTTCGAAAGAATGCTGCTATTTTATCCACTTATCCAAGAGATTTTGTAGAGCAAAAGTGCTAATTCTTCAGCAACAATAGCATTTCATTCATAGAAGACATATTTGTTATTTCATTTTATGTTTTGAGTATCAACGCTGTTTTTAAAAATATATCTAGTTCTTTACAAAACGTTTTACAGCCAAGATACTTTATTGTTTTCATTAGAGTTTAGATCCTTTACAATTGCTTAGAACGATTATGTTAGTTCATGTGGGCAGGATGAAGCCAAGTAGTTAAAGTGCCGGGCTGTGAATCCGAATGCCCATATTTTACATTCCGTTACATGGTTATAACAATAATAAAATCGCGTTCGGCACGGTGGGACCAAGGATGCGTTACAAAAGTGACTGTTAGGCCTCACTACTAAATTAAAATTGCTGAGAGTTGACGAGAGGTGCTGTTGATAGCTGTCTTTTTTGTACTCTAATGGCCTCCCAGTGGCTCAGTGCTAAGCTGGCGGGTTTGTAACGTTAAAAATCAAAGTTCGATACCACGATGGCCATAGCTAGATAGCTTATTTTGTACAAATTAGTCTATCAATACAAAACTAGGAATGGCTAGCGCAGATATTTCTTGTTTCGTTTTGTAGCGAATATCTGAAGGAAACAAACAAACTAGTGTATTGGGGTGATTTTAGTTCCTTTGTTATATTTTGTAATTCCAGTAATAATTATTTTTGCTTTATTTACTAAGTTGTAGAGTAATATTTTTAATACAGAAACTTTTAGCCACCTTTTGAGCAGTAATATTATTTTATCCATATAATTTGAATACCTTTATACTCCATTTATCAATAATAAGTTTATCTATTTTATCATATGTATCGTGTTTTTAGTTGTTTTTCACTTTGGAACTATATTTATATAAGATTTGAAGTACGTCTTCAAACCGATATAACTCAGTAACAAGTGGTGAATCAAATGGTAGATTGACCTTCATATTTATTTCTAAGATCTTAATCAGTTGTCTTATGGATAATTTAGAAGAATAACTTCATAGCATCAACGCTACATATGTTTAAATCCTACATAAATGTAGTTTCATAGTGATAAATAGAAGATGACTAAAAACAGCGTACATATAATATACAGTTCATCATTATAAAACATTACTCTCGTTTTTTTTGCCACAGGTTAATAACGAGGGGTGGAAAGTTAAGTGATGAATTTAAAGATAGTTTGGACATCATATTTATTGTGATATTATTTACCATATTTTAGAACAATAATATTATTGTTATTCAAATTCGATGACGAGGAACCCACTTTGAGACTAATAATGGTTAGTGACGGCTTGAATGGGTAATGAAGAGTACCTGATGATGACAAAACCTTGTCGAAACGTTGGACATTTGCTGTTATGTTAAACTTATATTAAAGTTTTCTTCATTACCCATTCAAGCCGTCTCCAGCCATTATTATTATTGTTATTGTTCCCAGGTAAACTAATATTCTATTGCGTTTTTAAAGAAACTATGCAACTTGTTCTATGCAGTTTTTATTATTTTACTACATTTTTCATTCATAATACTATTTATCCAGACTTAAATTAAACCTTTTTATGGTTTTAATGGAAATAGTATTTTATATTCCACTTAAATTTTGTTTTGTTTACATTATTTTTAGAATGACAATTCTATTCAACTGAGGTAGAAGCACAACAAGAATATTTGATTCAGACAGAAGCCATATCTTTTATAGAAGTTTCAAAGCAACATTTCTATGTTATATGGGAAATAACTGAAATTTTTTCAAAGAGTAAGGCAAATGAAAAAATATGAATACATTTTGAGCATTTATTACCATAAATAAATGTCTAAGTTATTTTATTTAATTGAGATTTTTCATCGAGGTTTAAATTCTTTTGGATTTCATCTGTATGTTTATTTTGAAGATTGATCCTAGTTTAAACGAAGAAACCGAAGTGTGCTTAAAATTATAATGTTTAATTGTAACAGCTTATTCTAATTTTATATCTATTTTACAATATAGTAAAGGGGTATCATTGATACAGTCTACTTGAATAATTGCCTCAGAAGACAAAGAAAAAAGTGTCGTTAAAGGAGAAAGAAGCAGTACTGGTTTGATGTAAATAAAATTCAACCTTACGTGTATTTGCATCAAATCCATGAAACGACGAGCATTCTCATCATATTGCTGTCTCTCCATCTCGGCTGCGATGTGCTCTGTCAGGAATTCTTGGAGCTAACAAGAGAAAATAAGTAAAGGTGCCCCAGTTCGTACAACTTAAGAAAATTAAAGGTTTTAGTGTAAGCGGTTCAGACCATTATCTCATTTAGCATATAAATTCAAGACAGTACAGTTTGGCTTATGAAACTGTTTCAAACCACTTCTATGAAACGTTACTTATTAATATTAAAATCCTCCCTTCCCATTATGGGATTCCAATACTGTGCATAATTCATCATAATTTGCAACTAAATAAGGCTATATCCACAAGTATTCATTCTATTGTAAAGTATTATTACTTTAATTATATATATACATATATATATATATATGTGTAATTTATTTATTCGAGGAATATTTTCCTAGTGATAACGATTTTTACATACAATCTAATAATTGAAATTGTAGCCCGAGATAAACTTTAAAACAAAGACTAGACATTTTGTAAGTGTACCTTAATTATAACCTATAGACATTTCTTTACTACTGTATTTATATGAAGTTGAATTTCATGAATATTAAAAAACGAGTAAAATTATCTGAATTATATTAATATTTATTACGTTTTGTGGTAAAGTTGTAAAACTGTACTTAAGAAACTTCATATCATGATTGTTACCTTGTCTCCACTTGCAGCCCTCCAAACCAATCCGGCAGCAGCCATTTCCAGTATTACCATCACAAACATGATGATGAAGTACTGCCAAAACATTTATATATATTAACCACATGTTTATTTACGATTATATGATATATAATATTTAACTTAATATTTAACAATTTACTTTGAAATAGCAGCCCCAATTGAAGGCATTTCAGAGTTTAATCTATCAGCTTTACATGTATGTGTTAAAGGTTTCAAGGTATGTTTTTAAAGCCTACTATTCCCACCGTTATTCAGCCCAGTATTATTGACATGCTATGTAGACAAAATTACAAATCAATATCATTTACAATTTTATTAATTTCTCTGAAAATAAGACTATTTTTGTGTTTCAAAGTTGGTTTCTCACTAAAGATCATAGGGTGACCATGAAAATTTTGAATTCTAGAAACATATTTAAAAGTCGATAAAACTATTACTGTTAGTAGCAGGCAAGGACTTTCTGTTGCAGCTCCGCAACAACCAATAAAGCCGATGATGAGGAGAATGGCTCCCACAGCAATAACAATGTACGTAGCCTGGTAGTAGTTCTGAACAGGAAGATTGTTCTCGTATTCCCAGAAATCTTCATCGGTTCGGATCCACACACCTAATCCAAAAAGAGCACCTCCAAGACACTGAAAATACCATAAATAAATTGAAGCTGTAATAATTTATAGCATGTAACGATTAGAAAAAAATAGCAATTTTTAATGGTATTAGTGAAGAATTTTTGTAATAACCAGATGTCGAATGATGATGACAAAACCTTGTCGAAACGTTGTACATTTGATGTTATGTTCAACTTATATTAACGTTTTTCTTCATTACCCATTCAAGCCGTCTCTAAGCATTATCAGATGTCGAATTAATGTTATACAACTATCATTGTATGCAAATACTCCTCTGTCACGTGACATGCTGCAACATATGTAGAATGAATTATGTTTGTCAAAATATACTGAAAGAGAATTCTATACTACAATATTAAAAAATATTCTAAAATCCAAACCAAGTACAATGAATTTACATGTATAAAGTTTATGTTTCAAAACTTTTCGTAGCTTTACTACTAATGTAACTATCAAATTGTTAACACCCATGTATTCCTTAATGTATTTTAAAATATACTATAATAATAGGAGTTTTCCACCATAGAAGCAGTTTTCTAAATTCAATGGTAATACACATATTTTGTCGATTGTTGAACGTTCATCTTACTTTAATAATCCCTTTTTTCTTTCATAATACGGCAGAATGCTGTATCGGAATAACATTATTAACTCATTACAAAACCAGATAATCCAGAGTGTTATACACATAGAAGACTTTTCAATAACACCAATAACAAAACCAGATAATCCGGGGTGTTATCCACATAGAAGACTTTTCAATAACACCATTAATTTACTACAAAACCAGATAATCCGAAGTGTTATCCACATAGAAGACTTTTCAATAACACCATTAATTTACCACAAAACTAGATAATCCGGAGTGTTATCTGCATTGGAAACTTTCCAATAACACCATTACCGGCCCCCCAGTGGCACAGCGGTATGTCTGCGGACTTACAACGCTAGAAACCGGGTTTCGATACCCGTGGTGGGCAGAGCACAGATAGCCCTTGTGTAGCTTTGTGCATAATTAAAAACAAACAAACACCATTACCTCACTACAAATCCAAGAATATTGCAACGTGTAACGATTAAATATAGCATTTCTTTTAATAGTAATTACATTTCTTTAGTATGTGAGGAAGTAGTACGCTTCTATAGTGTGTGATTTAAGAGAGTAGTACGTTCCTATCGTATATGGTCTGAGAGAGAGTAGTACGTTTCTATAGTGTGGGATTTGAGAGAGTTATACGTTCCTGTAGTATATGATTTGAAAGAGTAGAACGTTTCTATAGTGTGTTATTTGAGGGAATAGAATATTCCTGTAGCACATGGTTTGAGAGAATAGTTCTTTCAATAGCATATAATTTGAGTGAGTAGTAAGTACCTGTGATTTGAGTGAGCTGTATGTTCCTATACCTGTATGCAGATTACAGTAGTTGTTCAGGGAAAGTTTAAGGCAAACAGAGAACAGAAACTGCGTATAAAGAAAAGTCTATTGATCAATTTACTTCATCCTGGACTGAATGAGCGAACAGTGAAGTTCGTATATTATTAAACCTATGAGTGTTAGCGATGTGTTAACTATACATATAGAAACATAAAGCTCACTCAAATCACTGGAACATACAGCTCACTCAAATATGTGTTAACTATAGACATAGGAACATACAGCTCACTCAACCGACGTGTTAACTATAGACATAGGAACATACAGCTCACTCAACCGATGTGTTAACTATAGATTTTAAAACACACCTCAATTCAACTTTAGGATATACACGATGACTACTTGTGTAAGTGGTTTCTAACCAAAATAGACTGTTTACTTGCATATGACAGGACTAAGGATTTTTTTTTGTTTTAGCGACATTCCAATTAGGCGGAATGGAAAGATTTATCGTTTAATATAGTATTGAATAACATGATTTATAATGCCTGTGTGGAAAGGCATTTTTTTATTAAAAGTTTCTTGGTATTTTCTATCTCTTTATGAAAAAAAAACATATTTATTGATTAATGTATTAGGTTGTCAACAAATTCATGTCGCGTTTTGGAACACTTTCATTAACCACCCCCCAAAAACGTACATCACGTATAATAATTAAACGAACCACCTAAACGTCACGTTAGTGTCGCGTATATAATGTGTAAAGTTTAATATACTCTAATCTTTTATTGTGATGGCACTCGACGAGACACACATTCGGTATGTAATGCCGTTTGAATACAAGAAGGGAAACAATGCCTCTGTAGCCACAAAGAATATCAAAGAAGTTTATGGACATGTTTTGAACGTTCATAGTGTCAACGATGGTTCAGCAAATTTAGTTCAGGTGATTTTGGCCTTAAAAACTGTGATGGCAGGGACAGACATGTTGGAAATGATATTGATGCTCTGAAGAC